TCAATATAACAAATAGCACAGTTTGCTTTTGTTTTTACTGAGCTTAAGTGTTGTAATAATGAGTGTGTTGATGGAAGCCTTCCTAGGGGAGGAGAGCTGCTCCCTGGTGAATTAGGAGGCAAAAGTGTGTGTGTGAAACCGTTTATGTGCCTCCTTTTTACCTGAATTATTTAGGAGCAGCAGGTAGAAGAGAAGCTATATTGCCCACCAGAGGATGAATGGATACAGTGTGCTGCATGCATAGAATGGAACGCCGTAGAATGTGGGTAGTAGATGGAATTTTCCATTGGCTTCTGGCAACAGGTGACATTTATCTCTGAAATATTTAAAGCCAAAAAATTCCTGTATTTTGGAGTTTGGTTGGCAAAATAATGGATTTTGCTTCTTAATTGGGATTGAATCTTCCAGGTTCTTAGAAACAGAAGAGAAATTTTAAGTATCTTTGTCTTAGTCCATTCTGGTTGCTAGAACAAAATACGCAGACTAGGAGGTTTAAACAACAGACATTCATCCCCCACAGTTGTGGGAGGACCCTGTTCCCTGCTGCAGACGTCTCACAGGGACTCTGTCTTCATCAGACGTGGGCTGGGAGATCGGGGTCCTTTACAAGGGCACGAGTTGCATTCGGGAGGGCTCCACCCTCATGACCTGATCACCTCCCAAAGGCCTTGCCTCATCATGCCATCACCTTGGGGGGTAGTGTTTAGACAAGTGAATTTTGGGGGACACAGCCACACCGCAGCAGCCTTCCTGGTGAAGACTCTCCCACCCCCAAGGTTTCCAGGAGGGCTGGCATATGTTATTAAAGCCAATTAATACTGATAGGTATGCATATGCATGGGTTGGTACAGATGGCTAGTGCATTTACCACATTAGTCCTTTCCATACTTGTGATCAAGTTCAACAGGAGCATTTGTAGCCAGGAAGGTGCAGCTGGGTTGTACGCTGGAGCCCTGTTGGCTAAGTGGTGTGTTTGCGGTTTTCTATTTCAGATCAGTGCAGTTTCCCACATGTGTTAATGTGTTTGTTTTTATCAGGCATACAGGTTATAATTTATAGTCTTACATAAGTGAGATATTACGTCATTAAGAGTTTAATTTTTATTTCATTGAAAGAGTGCGTTAAAAATTTGTTGTGGGAGGTAAAAATTTCCTTTTCCACACTGCCCAAGTCCTGCTCTAAATAAGTAATTACCACTATTAATATACAGTTTGCCATTTAGTTTTCAAATGGATATTTTAAAAGGACATAAGGTAGAAGTTTTTCAGGTGGGAAATGATAAAAAATGCAGCTTAAAGGTTCTGAGTGGATTTATTAGTTTGGGTTCTGAAACGAGCACCAGCAGGAGCATCTCCTTTTTTGTCTTGTCACTGACTCTGGGAGCCCGTTTTTGCTGCGTTAGAAGCTAAACAACACCTAGAGCTTTACAGTGACTGTTCTGAAATAAATGGCCCGGGACAGAGAAATCGGTTAACTCAGATGGTCGGTGGGGAACTGACAAGTCCTGTGTGGCTGGAATGATGACCTCTGACTCCTGAAAGTGCACAAGTGTGAACCACAGGACCGAGTGTGGGTGACATCGTGTGAACTGGAGGAGACCTGTTCTCTGCTCACTTGGTAAATAAACCCACTGGGGACTCCCTCTCTCCTACTTTTTCCTGGCTTCAGGACTTAATAAACACTTCATTGCTGCGTCCAGCGTTGGACAGGAAAAGGAAAACCAGAGGAAAAAGGGCACATCCCCGAACACAGTGTCTGCTGCACGTGAGGGGAATCCGAGGAGCCCAGAGGGCTTTCAAGGCCAGTCCTGTGCCCCTGAGATCTTTTACAGAAATCACAGCTCCCAAGGGCACCTGGCAGGTGAGGGATTATGCAACTAGGCAGTGATGAGCCTTCATTGGGCCCCGGGCAGAGTGGTTTTGCTGCCTGGAAGCTGTTTAAATGATAACAAAGACCCCTTTTTGCCTTTGAAGCCACCAGTTTCCCTTGCTCTGTGGCACCAGGTCAGGCTCAGGCACGAGTCCTTTCCCTGTGTCTGCTGACACATTAAAATTGCAGAGACAACCTGAACTGGGCAGGAAGCTGAGCCGGTCTCATGTGGAGGAACGAGCCAGGTTTCTCCTAGAAACACAAAGATACTTTCCACATCAGAAGATTCCTGTGTTTTCTTACGTTTTGCCCCTTTTTCTACGTGGCCTTTTTTTGTTTCATAAAACTTCATGTTGAGGACATTGGGTTTTTATCATTATATGTTGCAGTTTTTCCTAGTATTTTGCTTTGGTTTTTTGGGGTTTTTTGTGTGTGTTTTTGTTTTTCAAATTCACAAGGGCCCTGGCAGGGATTCTCAGTTGGTTGGAGCATCTTCCCGATACACCAAGGTTGTGGGTTCGATTGCCATCAGGGCACATACAAAAATCAACCAATGAGTGCACCAATAGGTGGAACAACAAATTGATGTTTTTATCTCTCTCCCTTCCTCTCTATCTCCAAAAATCAATAAAAAAATTTTACAAAGAACCATAAAGTTTGTGATTAAGAGAAGCAGTCCCCTTCCCCACCGTGATTCTGCTCTGAAGTTGCCCCTCGCGTTCGAGCTGGTTCTCAGGAGGTGGGCTCCGCATTCCCAGGCTTGGTGCCTGTTTTCCCTTGTTGCTCTCCAGATGACACCGTGGGAGCTGCTTCCTTTGCTCTGAGTTTCACAGGCAGCGCCTCTGGGACAAGGCTTTTCGTAGCATCAGAGGGACCCACAAGTGTGCCTCCTGGTTTTCTCTGTGGCACAGAATTCTGGACGCACAGTGATATCCCCTCAGCACTTTGAAGCTGCGTTTCATTCTGGTCTGTTTCTGAGCAGGTGTTTGCCGACAAGCTGGGTTTTGTGATGCTGTGGTTGGTTTTCTCGCGTTTTTCTGCATTGGCATTGCTCTGTCACCCTGTGTCCTGAGGGCTAAAGGTCGTTCCAGACTGGCCGTGGGCTCTGTGCGACCACTCTCTCTGCCTTTAACTCCTGAAAATTCTCAGCCATGCTCTTGCTTTTCCCGTGAGAATTGTATGAGACTGTTAATATGTTGACTGTCTCATAACCACACCTTCATTTTCCATCCAGTGACATCTCTCTGTTGCCTCCATGCACTTACTACCATTTAGTGAACTCTGACCTCCTCTGCCCCGGTCAGCCCCTCTGAACCCTCTGCCTGCTTCCTCCGTGTGGGACAAGGGGGACAGACCATGTTGCGGGGCAGCCACTGGCTTTCTGTCCTTAGGCCTTCAGGTGCCCCTGCCTGGTTGCATCCCCCTGCCCTTCCCCCAAAACCACTGGCCTGGCCTGGCCGCCTCACCTGCAAGTTCCTTCCATACACGGTTGCTTTTTGAAGTTTACACATGATTTGAAGTGAATTAACTTCCCTTCTGTGCTTCTAGAATTGCCCAGCTTGTGTCTCCCTGAGAATGGAGAAAGTAGTCATTCAGATCACTCCCGTCTTTGTGGCTCGGGTAGGAAGGCAAGTCAAGAGAGGTGTGACTGTGCCCACGTTCTAGGTGACAACTCAAGGGGCACACATTCTTGGTAGATAATAAACACAGCTAGTGCTTCGAACGGAACGTCTGTGTCCACAGATTCACACATTGAATCCCACCCCCGTGTGGTGGGTGAGGAGGCAGGGCCTGTGGGTGGTGGTGAGGTCGAGAGGGTTCTGCCTCCAGTGATGGGATTAGCACCCTCATGGAGCCCGCTTGCCCCTCCCCTGGTCAGGACACAGAGAAGTGGGCACCTTGCGTTTGGGATTTGCGTGCACCACTTGCTGGTCATTTCCTGCCAGTCCCTGTGGCCCGTGAGCCCCTTCACCCAGGTCCTCACCTGGGTGGGACACAAGTGTCTGACCCACTCTCTGACAGGCTTAGGTGCTGCATCCTTTGGGACTGCTAAGTGGGTTTTCCTCACAGGCTCTGACTCAGGGACCTCTCTGCCCTCTGTTAGCAGGAATGACTTAGAGCTTACGTCACGTGGTTAGGGTGTTGGACAAGTGACCAAGTAACCAAATAACCAAAGTGTAGCTGGTGGTCAGTCAGAACCATTGTCACGTTTTCAGTGGTTACTAAGCGCCGTACCGTCAGTGAGAGCAGTTCCCTGATGCGTACTTGGAATGAGCGGCCTCGGCCACGTTCTCGCTTTGTCTGTCTGTCTGTTCCATGGAGCAGCCTGTCTGCTGGACAGACACCAACCCCGCCCAAGCTCAGAAGGGCCACGGGAGCGCTCCCTCTGTCCTGGTCTGGGGGGTGGTGAGGCCTCGGTGCTCCTGGCTTTATGCTCTCGATAGTAACTGATGCTGGTCCCTGTGTTGGATGCAGTCAAGCCAGGCCCGCATGCAGTGGGACGGGGGCTTCCCCTCTTCACGTCACCTCTGTGGCTGTGTATGCCTGGTGTGTGGCTGGGTCGCCTGCACAGACGAGCTCTGGAGGAGGGCGCCCCTTGCATCCCAGGTGTCCTCAGTGCTGGGAGGTCATGGTCCTTCCCACTCTGCACCTGGGTGCTGGCAAAGGCCCCAGCAGCCTGAGCGTTCCAGTCTGATAAGAGAGCCTAGACTCAGGTTTCGAAGGGTGACCCAGCTGCCTGAGCTGGGCTATGGAACCAGTTTTATATACTCAGAGTTTAAATGTAAGATTATTGTGAGATCTGACACAGTGGTTAGAAAGAAAGCCAGGCTGTTTTATGACCTTGTAGAAGCCTCAGCCTGGCCTGGCTCACAGTGTTCTTTGAGCCACACTGGACCGTCCACGGGAGGCTGCTCGCTCCTCTGTGCCATCGCCAAAGTCTCCAGGCAGAGGAGGACAGGTGCCCAAGGCCCCCCGTCACTGCGTCACCCCAGACGGTGAAGCTGGGTGCTCTTCACTGAAGCAGCTTCGACACACGATACTTAGCCCTTCAAAGCCCCTCCAGTAGAGACATCCTGCAGTTAGTTGTTGGTGTAGAAAATGCCCAAACCTATGGAGGGTTTTTATGGGTTTATTTGAGCCAAAGTGATGAGACATTTCAGGAGCAAGATCTGAAATGTTCAAGAGGATGACAGTTTTACAGCTTCCTTCATGCATCTGGATTTAGGAGGGGACATGAGGAAGATTCCATGGAGGCGGAGGGAGCCTGGCAGGGATGGGTTACAGGAAGTTAAGATTCTGTGCTCTCTGGTTGGTTACAGCTTATTTCAAAGGTGTGTTAACCTAGATGCACAGAAACAATGGACAGAGCTGGCTTACGGCAAATATAAGACTTTTATTGAAGAAGCTACATGCCTAGGGCGTGGGGACCACCATGACCTGCACACTTGGGAATTTATGATCAGTTCACCATGAGGTCACTTTCCATAGAACCCCCTTTTTTGTCCACAGGGTCTTCTGTTACAGAGTGTGGGCCTCGGATTTTACGGAGCTGATTCCACTCATGCTCACTGTCTTTCAGCCACACAAGGGAGTGTGTGAACATGCAGTGACTTTTGGGACGCTGCCACATAGTTCACGTGAGCCTGTCACACATGGGGCCACACCTCTCACACCCAGTGGAGACAGGCCCTGAAGCTGAGCTCCACAAACGTCATTCCGTGGAATGATAATTTTCCTAATAATATTGGGATGCCTGGCCTAACAAATATTTTTTATTTAATTCCTGACCTATGAACTTAAATGCCTTAACAAGTATACACATTAAATAGCTTATGTTAAAGTGCTAACTTAGGTGGGCTTAGGTGGGATCTGGAGGGGGTGGTGCCCACAGGGATGTGGGCACAGGGGCTGCCTGGAGCCTGGTGTTACTATCAGTTGTCCTTTACATTAGTTTCTGCTTCTCAGAGATAGTATAATATTTCCGTTTATCACCACTAAGTTTCATGTCATCTTTCTTGCTCTGGTAAAGTCTGTATTTTGATCAGTGTCTGGAGCAGGAGTGCCCGGCAGCCTGGGGCACAGGTGGGAGCTTTGTCACAGGCGCACGAGGGTGTAACCACGGCTCCCAGCTGCTGCTGTGGTTGGCCTGTCTCTGTGAGGGCAGGGCCACCCGTGGGGCTGCCCAGACAGAGTGCAGGGTGGGCCTGGCAGGCTCCTGGCCCTGAACTCCACACACCCCTGCCCTAGCTCTGCGGAACTTGCTCCTCACGCATCTGGGCCTTGCAATAGAACCAGGGCTGTTAGCTGTTCACAGCTTCCATCTGCCAGGTCCTCAACTGGGACTGCCCGTCGGCAAGCCTGGCCCTGGGTGGCAGCACCCTAGGTCCTGGGCCACCGGGTGACCTCAGGAGGTCACTGTGCTGAGCTGCTTTCTGTTCCAGCAGATGGTCTCCTGCGACCTCGACGTGCAGCCTCCGCTCAGTCCTCGGTACCCTTTACTTCATGTTGCATTACGAACTTTGCAAAGTGCTTTAAAACTAGGTCTGCCCATGGGAGGTTTCTCTTCTCCCAAAAGAGAAAACCATCTCGCAGAGTGACTTGGACCCCAGGATGTGGAATTGGCTCCTGCAGGAGGCACCTAACAGGACTTTCCAGAGTTTCTCTCCTTTTCATCCAGTCCCTGCTCTAACCAGTGCATTTCTCTGGGTCTGAGATGCTGCGCACTCGTCACAGGATGCACTCTGACCACAGAAACGAGGGAGTTGCACAAAACCGGTGTCTCGGTGAACAAGATGCTCTATTTCCTCGGCATAGTCTTGCCATGGGGGTTGGGGGGGCCGTCTGATGCCTGCAGGGACCCCTGCCCTGTGTCACAGCCCCACCCTGTGTCACAGTTTCACTTTCCCAGCCTGGGTGGGGGGAGTGTGGCCATGGGCCACCTGTTGCCGCAATGCTGTCCTCACAGCATGGACAGCTGAGGTCACCTGCAGCTGAGGGGACAAAATGTGCAGGTATCCTAAGGGGAGAAGACAGCTGCCCGGTTTCTTTTCTAGGTTTCAGCTCCATGGATTTTATTACAAAACTGTGATCTTTTTATTTACTACGTCATACTTGATCTTCTTAACCTTTTATTACGCGCAGGGAGCAGGTTTCCGAGGTTGGAACGAAGTGGCTTCACTGTTTAATAACGACGATGAACAGCACCTGCTGGGAAGATGCAAGTCTCCCAAGTCCAGAGGGTAAGTTCCGAAGGATGCAGGGGGAGGGGCGCGGTCCCCCCGAAGGGCCACAGTCGGTCCCCACCCTCATCGCTGTCCTTGTCTCGAGTTGCTCTGTCACGTGGGGACAGCAGGGCCAGACAGGTGACAGCGAGAGTTCCCTCCCCCTGAGAGTCAGTGGGGATGGGAGGCAAGGAGAGAAAACATGGTTCAGTGTGAAAGTCAGGAGGCAGCTGAGCACTCGGGACTGTGGAAAGGAGAGAGTTTCTCAGACCAGCTCGCGGCCTCCTGGTGGCACCTGAACCTGCAGCCCTAGACTAGGCTCCAGTTGGCATTAGAGGGTCAGTAGTTTCAGAAATTCTAGGGGGAAAAACCCGTTAAAAATGCAAAGGATATAAAGATGTTAGAAAATTGAATATATGTAAACTGACATATTGCTGCTAGTTTATTTTAAATATTTCGAAATTTTAAAAAGTGTATTTAAAGATGAAAATATACCTTCAGTGATGACCTAGTGGGACCAACAATGGCCTGGGTGTGATAAGAGGGAGAATCTGGGGCCTCGGTGTGAAGAACTGCTTGTGAGGACGAGCTGTCTGGGCATCACCGGGCAGGGTGTGGCCTCGCCATCAGTGAGGACCTGTACGTCTGTCCCCTTGGTGTCAGGTCTCCCAGGGCCTTGAAGAAATAACTGTGTCCTGGCCCTTCCATCCAGTTAAATGAGCCTCTCTGAGGTGCGGCCTGGTTGAGGTATTGGGAGCCCATCAGATTGTGGGGCCTGTGGCCACTGGCTCTGTGGTCGTGAGTGATCTGTCCCCACCATGGTCGCCTTCCTTTCCTTCCTGTGGTAGATGGGCTTCTGAATTTCTATTTTCAGCAAACTACCTAACTAACTGCTGGAAATGAGCATGCTGGATGGGACCCTGTGGAAACCGGTTGGATACATAGAATAACCCCCATCCTTGAATCTGGACCCTGGTTCCCTCCTTCCTTTGCTCAGACATGTGAGCACCCAGTTGTGTCTCCCATCTGAGAACCGGCTCTGTGTGTAATTCCACGTGTCGGGTCGTAAACGTGGCTTACAGGTTTCCTCAGTAACATGTAGGGACTAATTTCTCCTTGTTAACTGTGCTGTTAAAGTTGTACACAGATTTATGTTAGCTTTCTACACAATTTAAGTTGTTTCAGGAAAAAACTTTATAAAACGGACAGAATTTGAGGCCCTTGCATCACCCAAACTCAACTCTTGTCCTCTGTAGAACCAGCGTGCGACTGAGAGAGGAGCTGAAGACAGAGAAGAAGCCTGGGTTTTGGGACAATTTGGTTTTAAAGCAGAACATACAGTCTAAGAAGCCAGACGAGATTGAAGGCTGGGAGCCCCCAAAGCTTGCTCTTGAAGACGTGGCAGCCGAGTCGGGCGACCCCCTGAGTGACCGACCGTCTGGCCCGGGCTGGGAGGAGGGCACCAAGGGCTCCAGCAAGTACACCAGCCTGGCCGGCCCCGGGAGCAGCTCGCGCTGGAGCCTCAGGTCGGCCGGGAAGCTGGTCAGCATTCGTCGCCAGAGCCGAGGCCACCTCACGGATAACTGGGAGGAGCTTGAGTGACTGTCGGGCTCACCATCCCAAGTGTTTCACACCAAAATTTGCCTAATGTTGCGGCTTTGTTTCATTTCTTTCAGATTCTTAGTTTGTGTATCAGGGTGATTTTACGAGTCTGTCAAGTTCTTAGTCTTTCCAGATTTAAGAGTGGCATCTACTCTGCCTGTATTTCATCTCACACGCTGGGATAGGAATTCCCAAACACTGTGGTCGCCCGGTGATGCTCAGTGCTCGCTCATGGCTGCCTTCCTGCAGAATCGCTCGCGCCTGTGTGTCTGCGTTCCCAACGCTGGAGATGCGGGTTTCAGATGCTGTCCCCTAAGGTACCAGACAGGACTCCCAGCCACCCCAGCTGCAGCGGTTTGCTTCCTGTCGCAGTGGCTCCCGCGTGGAGTGGTGGGTGCTGTCAGTGATACCGGATGTAACTGCTGCGACAGACATCCGCCAGCCAGGTGTGCAGTGAGTCTTGCAAAGGTTGTGTCACATCGTGTTTAATCTGGAAAATCAAGTTTTCTCTCATTAAATTAAAAATATGTTAGCAAATCAGGTTCTAGAGCAGAGGTTACATTTGATGAAGCAGGAGACGCTGCCATCTGCAGAAAGGCATCTTCACCTGCGGCGGGTGGAGACGGTGCTGCTTATTTAGAGGTTTTATTTTTACTGCTGGACTTTTTAATATTGATCTTTATTTTCTTCTAAAAATGTGCTGTCCTTTTTTGATTAGAGATTAAAGAATGCTATAAAGTGTGGGTCAATTTTAGTAACTTGATATCAAATTTTGTTTGGAAAATATTAACTTGCTCATTATAGGGTTGAAACTAAATATAAAATACTGGAAGTGCCTCTTTTCTGTAATACCCAGGATTTTGTTTTCAAAATGAGATACTTATTGTGATTGCCTTTGGATCCCTGAGGAGTTGTGTTCTAGCTGGTGTGTGAGCATTTTGTCCCTGGCAGCGTGACCCCGCGTCAGGGTCCCAGGACAGCTCTCACCCGTGTGTGGCCCACGAATCCATCTTAGGTGGGTTTGAAAGAAAAGGTATCGTGGGTTTTTTTGGTTACAAACAAGAGCCTCTGGTTACACTGTATCCCTCTTGTAAAGAACACTATCCTCCCATTGCTCAGGGCGCACTCTGTGCTGGTCCACATAAGCAGGTGTTTGTTTCACTCCTGTGGGACACCTCGTGTCTGTCTGTCTGTCATCCATCTGACCATCACCCATTGGTCTACATCTGTGTCTGCCAATCACTTGTCTATAAACCATCTATCCATCACCTGTCTACATCTCTCTCACCTGTCAACCGTCTGTCTATTGATCCACCCGTTTTTTTTTAATAGAACAAGAAGTTTACTTGACTAAGCCTTGAACAAGGACACGTTTTAAGTGGTGTTGCGACTGTGACACGTTGGGGGTTCTGTTCTGTGGTGCAGGGGAAGGTTCGTACTTTTAGTGAAAGAGCAGGGTTGAGAACACTCGCTTCCTCAGGTGAACAGTGCAGTACACAGACGGTAGCCCCCAGGCCCCTAAGAAACTCACCACGGGTGTAGACATACACCTGCCCTGCTTCATGCCAGTGTCCTCGGCAAGGCCTGTCCCAAGCACAGGGAGGGAGTTCAGTGCGTGGAGGTGGGGACACTGCCCGAGCTTCAGGAGTCCTGTGACCCTGTGACCAGCTGCTGTGACACTGAGTGCCTGTCCCTGACGTCGGCAGTACACCTGGGACCCATGGCTGGCAGAACAGCTGTTCGTAGCATCAGTTCTTAAAGTGAGAAGAAAAGCTGGATTGGGGTTGGAATGTGGACTGTAAATAACACTTCAGATCTACAAACATTTATGCAAATGAACTTCTGTTGTACCTGACTAAGTGAAAATAGCTGTGTTTGTGGGTTTTAATATAAATATTGGTGTGCTTCAGGGGAAAAATAATTCACCCAAGCAATTTTTTGTTCATAGGTTGAGAGAAATTGTTTTGATTTAGAGTTTTTTGTTTGGATTCTGTGTACAAACCACTTAACTGTGTGAAGAGCAGGCTGTCTGCTCCTTCTGATGTTTTATTATTTTTTTAATACGAAAGTGATGGCTTCAGGGAAGGTAAAATTCATCCTTAATGCTGAGGTTTTTTAAAAATAAAAGTATCAGAATATTGTCCTTTGTTGTTGGCATGATTATCGGTACTTATGAGGAGGTCGTTGCTTATGGTGACGTCAATCTCAGGGCTCACGACACTTCTCAACACTGTAAACCCTGTTTTTAAATGCAAACAACACCTGTAGGTGTTTCATAAATGAATGACCAGTTTCAGCCTGAGCTGTCAGGTGTATGCTCTGAGCTGCCTCTGCTGCGGTGCTGCGGCTCCAGGTTTTTATTTGACTCAGTTATTTCATGCATTGGGGCCTTGAGTGAGTCTCCCAGCACTGGCTGGAAAACAATGGACATACCAGTGATAGTTCAATTTACTCACCCTCACCTTTCAGGAAGATTGTCTCTGTTAGAGAAAAGTTTTTCAGAAGCAGTGGCCCGAGAAGAATATTAACTTTCTGTAAGAACTGGGTAATGTCTCGTGGCCGCAGGTAGGAACTTCTGGACAGGCGGGGACCAGTGGGCAGAAGTCCTGGGCAGCTGTTTCTGCCTCTGCTTTTCCCTCGCTGGGCTCTGGAGGCCTCATCTGTTGACCCATCACCGAGGACCCTGGGCCCTGCCCATACCCTCACCTGCCAGGCTGCTCGTTCTGGCCACAGCCTTTCCAACCCACTGAACAGGCGCGTTTTCCTCATCTTAAGTTAGTCTTGAATTTCAACTCTAACCCAAAGGCAGGTGGAGACACGAGTGACACCTGCACATCGAGGACACTCAGTAGAGATGTACAGCAGCAGAGCTGGGTGGGGCTGGACAGCCTCTGCCTCACGTTAGGGTTCACTGGGCTCTCCCCGGGCTCTCTGGGACTCGACACCCTGTGCGCTGTGCTGTGCTAGGTCTTCTGAGAGGCCATGCTCACAGCGTGGCCCTCCTTGCATCAGCCACGTGAGTCCCCTGCACTAGAGAAGTTAGTGCTGAAGGTTGCGGCCTGGGTGCTCTCCCTCCCCCAGCACTGGATTTTCCAGGTGAGCATCGGTGATCTCAGTCACCTCTACACTGTGGCTCTTTCCTGTTATGGGTCAACTTAGCCCCTCCTAATTATCTTCCCTGCAATCTGCCTTCACCATAGGCTCATAGTCACCGTTTTCCTGTCGTCATCCTGTAAGATTTGAGTACGTCTGGGGCCCAGGAAGGGCCCTCCCTCTGGGCAGGAGCTGTGCTGGGAGGAGCCACCAGCAGGGTGAGGCTGGGAGCTGAGGGACATGTGCAGGAACCACCACAGGAGAGGGTGACTGCGAGCCCCGCCTTGCACCTGAGCACACCTGTGTCCCTACCTGTGCCTTCACTCGGCTGCACTGCTGTGGCTTAAACCAGTTGTTTCTCACCGTCCTGGAGGCGGGAGGCTCGCTCCTCGTTCACAGATGGCGCCTTCTCGCTGTGCCCTCCCTCACATGGCAGACATGGCCGCCTCCTCCCCTTGTAGGGACAGTGACCCCGTCACAGGCCCCCGTGGCCTCACCTACCCTGACCACCTCCACGGGCCCCACCTGCTGACAACAGCATGCGTTCGATTCCCTGGGGGTGGGGATGGGTCCACGCCCAGCTCCAGGTGTCGTGTGCACCAAGTGTCATCTGTGGGCTGGTGTCCTCGTGCACAGCAGCGAGGTGACAGCGCTCACCTCCTGGGATGCTAGGGCCCTGTGGTGGCTGCGAGTGTGACCTGATCTGTGGGTTCAGTTCTGCCCCCCCCATGAAAGAGCACAGCAGATCCAGTGTCTTCTGTAGGAAACGTGGTTCCAGTGGCAGCTGCTTTGTGTTGCTTTTCCTAATTTTCTCCTCTCAGGAGGGGCAGCACTGGGGGCTCCTGTTCGGAGCTCAGGTCACCCTGGGCCTCTGCCCGCTCCCACCCACCCATGTGGCTCCATGGAGGGAGAGGAAGCCGCAGACATGGATGGGAGCTGACGGCCACAGGCTGAGCTAAGGCCACCATTGTTAGTTGGTGTGAAAGTTCCCCCCAACTTCCTCTAAACTGTTTACTGAATGGAGCAGTTTCCTTGGGTGTCACTGGGAGCAGTTTAGGTTTTAATGATGATTTATTTACTTGTGTCAGCCTCTAAGGCTTATGAACATTTAATGCCCCTTTCCCAGAGCCCCAGGGAAGGAAAACTGTGTCCATGAGAGGGATTTTGTGCAAGTCCGCCCAATTCTGACACTACTTCGTCGGGCTGGACATGTACAAGAACCTGCACACATGGCACGTGCAGGTCGAGCTCTGTGGAAATTGCTGTCCTGGCAGCCTGGGCTGCTAGGAATCCCTCTGGAGCCACAGGCCTGACCTTATGTGGTATCCCTGGAACTGCATGCTCTGACTTTAACATGGCCTCTGGGCATCAAGGACAGGAGAGTGCTCACAGCTCCATGGCTGTCGGTCAGGACCTGGGCCAGCGTGTGCAGGCTCAGTGACAGGGACAGCGCCCAGCCACATGCCCTGAGCGTGCACAGGTTAAATGTGCACCCTCCTGCATCACAATCCCAGCGGAGGGACCCAGGACACCAGGGGGACACCTCAGAGCAGGAGGTTCCTTAGGGTGTGACAAGGGCGGCTAGCTGTGTTCTTGCAATCTGCTTTTAAAAAATACAAGCAGGCTCATGCAGCTCATTAAAACACTGGATTTGGTGACTGCCATGTCATCAGTGACCTGCCCACCCGACAAGCCCAGCACAGGGGGACGGTGTACCCCACCCCTCTCCTCAAACCCACAAGGGAAATGAAGGGACAGCATACCTGTGTTTTAATTCTGTTAGGATGAAGGACTGTGGTGACTTCATCTCTATGCTCTAGGCCCTTGGGAGTGTGAGGTCTTAGGGCCAGCTTGTCCTCGGCGGGTCCTTTCTTGGGCTCCCTCTCACTGGTTCTGGACAGATGGGGGCAGGGCTCTTCTGTAGAATGTTTATGGGCCCATCCTGAGCCTCACCAAGGCCATGCTGTCATCAACGTGTGTGCTCCCACCCCCACCACAGGAGGCCGGTGACCAGTGAGCTCCCCTTCCTGCCCGGTCCCATCCACTGACCAGGCATCCATGCAGGTAGGGGGTCTGTGTCCCCATCAGACTAAGGCTCCTTCCAGAAGCCTCCACTTCATCAGTACCTGGTCCTGGTGACAGAGGGCAGGCCTGACGGACACTTTGTCCCGTCCCCCAGGATGTGGTCCCAGGCCCCAGGGGACGCAGAGTGACAGGTGTCAGTGACCTGTGGGGACCATGTCGGGGGAGGCCTGCTCCCTCAAAAAGATCGGGGCCAAATCCTTGGCTTCCTTCCTCCGTGCCTGACTGCCCTACATCCCTGGTGTAGCTGCCCACAGGACCAAATAGATGCCAGCTTCTCAGGCAGGGACCAGGGCTGACAGGATGTTCCCCAGATAAACAGAAAAGGGGGTTCATGTCCTGGTGTCATCTCCTGCCTGTCTCCCCACAAACCTTCCTTCCCTGGTTTCTGCCAATGACATAAGCTCTGGGCTGCACCAGGCTTCCAGTTCCTACGGGGAAAGCTGGAGGACAAGGGAGGTGGTGAAAGTGGGGGGCAGGAGGGGACAGGTCCAGCCCACTGAGCAGCCCCCACCCCACAGGACCCTCCTGCAGGCCCAGGGCTCAGGGTCCACGCTATGGGTGACACCAGGTTTCAGAACCTCTGCGGAGAGGCAAGCATGCTCCCAGCTCTAAACTCAGCCCTGAAACAGCCCCTCACTGTTGTCCGAAGCTGTGTGTGGTGTGGTGTAGGCCCCTGGTGAGGAACCACAGGGCTTGGTGTGAACACCACGGTCACACAGAGGGTGTGGCCTGCCAGTGAAGTGTGTGTGTCCTCACTTACTTTACTTGCTATGGGGCATGGTGATGCAGGCCGGTGGTGAGCGGGGGGCAGACAGAGATTCACAGAAGGCACAGACAGAAGAGGCTTCCAGGCCCTGACGATCACCAGCACTGATCTGTCTTTTTGATAATCGCCCTTCTGACAGGTGTGAGGGGGTATCTCACTGGTTTTGACTTGCATTTCCCTGATGATTACTGATGTTGAGCATCTTTTCATTCAGTGCTTATTGGTCTTTTGTCTTTCTTATTTGGGGAAATGTCTGTTCAAGTGTTCTGCCCATTTTTAATCGACTTGTATGGTGTTTCGGGTGTTATATATTCTGGACATTAGCTCCTTGTCAGATATTTGATTTGCAAATATTTTCTCCCGTGTACAAGTTGCCTTTTCACTCTGCTGACTGCGTCCCCTGACACACAGGGGTTTTTTATTTTGATGTGGCCCAGTTTCTCTATTTTTTCTTTTGTTGGCTGTTTTTTTTACATGATATCCGAGAAATAATTGCCAAATCCAATGCTGAAGCTTCCTGCCCGTTTTCTTCTAAGAGTTTATGGTTTTAGGTCTTTGGTCCGCTCTGAGCTAGTTTTGCATATGGCATAAGGCGAGGGTCCAGCTTCATTTTTCTGCATGTGGGTGTTACTTTCCCAGCACCACTGTTGATAAGACTGTCCCTTCCCCACTGAGCAGTCTCGCACCCTTACTGACATTAGACCACATCCGTGAGGTTTTACTTCTGGGCTCTCCACTCTGTTTCATTGGTCCATGTGTCTGTCCTTAGGCAGGGATAACCTGTTTGATTCCTGTGGCTTCGTAGTGGATTCCGAGGTCAGGAGGTATGCTGCCTCCATCTGGGGTTCCTCGAGATGCCACATGAAGTTTAGGATGGATTTTTCTATTCTAAAAAAAAAAAGATGCTGCTGTGGTTTTGATGGGGATCCCACTGGCGCCATTGATGCTTTGGGTGGTGGCACCATGATCATATAAAGTCTCCCGTTCCCTGAGCACAGACATCTTTCCATTTACCTGTGTCTTTCCTTCCACAACGTTTGTAGTTTTCTGTGTACAACTCTTGAGCCTCCTTGGTTAGGTTTATTCTTAAGTATTTTATGCTTTTTGTTGCTATTACAAATGGAATTTTCTAAATTTACTTTTCATATTTCTTATTGTTAGTGTATAGAGACACAAGTGATGTGCTGTTTTTGTGTGTT